AAAACTCCAAGTATCTCTCGCAAGTGTTCCTCATGTTGTTCCCTGGTCTTGAAGTAGACCAAAATATCATCAATGCAAACAATAACCAACCGGTCAAGCATCGTTCTGCTTACCCGATTCATCAAATCTATAAATGTTGCAGGTGCATTTGTGAGCCAAAACGACATCACCACGAACTCATAATGACCCTAGCGAGTCCGGAAAGCTGTCTTTTTAATGTCCTCCTCTCCAACCCTCATCTGATGGTGTCCCGACCTCAGATCAATCTTGGAGAACCAATATGTACCATGCAACTGATCGAAAAGATCATCAACCTTAGGAAGTGGGAAACGATTCTTCACCATCAATTTGTTTAACTCCCGATAATCTATACACATACGGTGAGACTCATCCTTCTTCTTTAAAAACAGAATTGGTGCTCCCTAGGGTGAACTGCTCGGTCTGATAAACTACTTGCCCAACAGTTGCTGGTCCTGAGAGGAAAACTCATGCATCTCTGGTGGTGCGAGTTGATATGTCTCCTTAGCAATCGGGGCCGCACATGGGATCAAATCGATCCTAAACTCCACCTGCCTCGCGGGCGGGTAATTCATCCAGAAAAACATCTGGAAACTCTCTAACCACTGGTACATCTGCAACCGGATTCTTCCCCACAACTCGAGCATCGACCACATATGCGGGATAACCCGAACATCCTTGCTGGATATACTGCCTAGCCCTGACAGCCGAACAAAAAGTTGAACCAACCTTGATACCCTTTCCATAAATGGTTAGTTCTTCCGCACTTGGGGTTTGAACCACCACTAGCTGCCTCTCACAATCGATCACGACACCAAACCTGCTCTACCAATCCATCCCCACAATCATGCATACATCCCCCATAGGGATGTGAATCTGGTCAATCGGGTAGGGCACCCTGAATATCTCCAAAGTACAATCACAAAACACGCTCGAAGCAGAAACCTTGTGTTTGTTGGAGATGGAAACTCGCAACGGACACTCCAACTCCCTAAATGTCACATCGAAATCCCTACTGAAGAACTGAGATATAAAAGAGCAAATCGAAGCCGAGTCAAAAAGAACAAGAGCATGCAAGAAGTTCTTTAAGAAGGTACCTATCAGGAATACAAACATAAGCATATAGAAATTAATTTGACAGAATAATAAATGGATACATACTAGTAACGACATCATATGCCGCCCTGGCCTCCTCTGTAGTAAGATGAAATGCACGACCCCTAGCCCTCGGGGTCTCGGCCCACCCCTAATGTCCATCCGTGATCCGAAGGGGTGGTAAGATTCGGTGCATGCACCGATCTAGCAGCGAGCAAGGGACAATTGTCCTTCACATGTCCAACCTGATCACAGTGGTAACAAATCCTAGTGCTCGGCGGTGGAGCCTGCTGGCGACAATCCCTCACATAATGACTCTCCCTGGCACAACTGCGTTACCCTGTCATTGATCGGAATGCTCCCTCATGCATCTTCTTGCACTTTCCACAAGCACAACCCCTCTGGTCTCCAGATCGTGAATCAGCGGGGCTTGAACCGCTTCGTTGTTGGCTAAGTGTAAACTCGATCTCTCTCGCCTGGATCTCAATATCAGTCTCTCTTCCGAGTGAAAGACTGCATCTAGGAGAAGGAACAATACTATTGCGTCAACACAAACTCATGAATCTCTATTTTGAGCATGCTCAAGTAGCGTGACATTTAAACCTGCTCCGAAGTAGCATACTCGGGGCAGAAAAGGGCTCTCTCAGTAAACATCTTGGTGATCTCCGTCACCGACTATGTCGTCTGCTTCAGCGATAGGTACTCCTGGGCTAACCTCTCCCTCTCAACCAATGGAACATACTTAGTGCGGAACAACTCCATAAAATGCACCCACATAACTGCAGCCTTCTCCGCAAGAGAATAAGCATTGGTTACTAGCTTCCACCAATCCTTCGCCCCCAATCGTAGAAGGTTCAAGGCGAACTTGATCTTTTGGTCGTGCGGGAAAGATCATGTGAAGAAAAAACCCTCCACATCAGATATCCACCTCATGGAAATGACCGGTCCTTAACCCTGTCAAACTCTTGGGGCTTCATGTTGCTGAAGTCCCGATACAACATCATCCCTCTCCCCTAAAATCCTACAGTAGCAACGACTGTACTGGTTGCGGCAGCAACAGCCTCAGACATGACGACACAACACTCGTCAAATAACTCAATCATTGCATTCTTGACAGACCCAAACATCTCCAGGATTGCCTCCCTAACTGTCATGGTCACCTGGGTGGTGATCATCTCGTGAATCTCCTCGTCAGGAAGTCTTGGCCTCTCCGGGTCGTCAGCTCATGATCCTAAACCTCTAGTGATCGTCATAATGAAAACAAACTGAAAAACATAAGAAAATCACATTGTATTCCAACACATCATTACTCTACCAGTAAATCCCCGAAATTCGTGACTTCCTTGATACGTGCACGGGTCTTGTGCTTTTAGTAGTACGGGCCCATAATACCTTTCATACCTACTCGTATTTGTTTCGAAGGATCTCTGTGAATTTCTCGACCATAAAGCCCAAACATCTAGGATACGCATACATCCTATACCCATTATCGCAATAGTAGATAACCATACATTACTCTAATTTCTAACAACCACACATAATCATGAAACACCTTACTAATCCTACAACCGCTTTGTGTATGCTAATCATATATAACACTTGATTCAATAGACAGTTGAATAATTGATTCTACCCTAAGCCCACAACCAAAAAAAGGAACAAGAAATAAGGCTAAATCAAACATTCTTAGGCGATAAAATCTTAGTCATGTACAACTATGATGCACACACTAAGAAACCATAGTAATAATGTCAGTTCCATATAGCATATCAAGAAATCCCCTAGGCTATCAGACATCATAAATCAGGCAATTCTAACATGCAATTCCTGAAGATCCCTAGCCTATAAACTATAATGCATTTCTAACACATCAGCAATTCACATAAAACAAGTGTGGGCATCCTGGGGAATAACTTTCCTTGGGCTCCGGTTGATTGTACACATCACATCCTCTCTGTTGATCATTTTAAAATTTAATTATGAAAAATATTTTTGCAGATCTATAGTTTGAATCTGGAATCACACAAGTGTTCATCCAATTCTCTCAACTATGGCTATGATTCCAAATTGTAACAAACCAAAACCATGATACTTTTCTAAAAGACATTTTCATAAAACATAAGACTGTCAAACATTGTTTCCAAAAGTCAAATCCATAGAAATCAATGTATCAAAATATTCTCTCAATATATAAGTCAACAGGAGGATGTGTACGATCACACCTTTGACTTGTCCTGATCATCTGATGTACCTAGGGTGCAAACGAGCCGAGCCGAGCCCGAGCCTGGCCAGGCTCGACTCGGGCTCGTTTAATTTATATGAAGCTTGAGCTCGAGCTCGGCTCGATTCGAGCTTTCTTGTATTGAGCTCGGCTCGAGCTCATAAAGAATTATATAAGCTCGGCTCGGGCTCGGGCTCGACTCGTTTTTTTATCTAATGTGCCTAAATAAGCTTAAGTTCGACTCGAGCTCGTTAAGAAGCTTGTTTACCAATACCCTAAATCCATAATTCCCCTAATATGTGTGTATTTGAATATATATATATATATATATATATATATATATATATATATATATATATATAAATAATAATAAATTATATTATATAAAGGCTCGTTTAGGCTCGCGAGCCTAATCGAGCTTAATGACATAGGCTTGAGCTCGAGCTCGTTTAATAAACGAGCTTAATATTAAGCTCGAGCTCGGCTCGGGCTCGTTTAAAATCGGTTTCGAGTCGAGCTTTTAACGATCCGATCTCGAGTAGCTCGCGAGTAGCTTGGCTCGTTTGTACCCCTAGATGTACCTGAAAACATTGAAATCAACATTTGTAAGTCAAAGCTTAGTAAGTTTCCCCAAAATACTCCACACAACAATATATATACAATGCATGCATACTGGGCTCACAACATAAGACTGAATTACCCCCATGCCCACGACATAAGATTGGATTTCCCCCTCCTGGGCCCTTAGCTCATGACGATCTTGCTCCCGAGCCCACAACATAAGACTGGATTGCGCACTCTTGGGCCCTCAACTTATGACTGGATTGCTCCCAGTTTTTTTTGGCTTACAACACAAAGTAGTACTGCCTCAACCCAATCACACTATGTCAACATATGCAAATAATAGTCGATAACTAACAAATACAGATAATCATACAAATCTACCAATATAACAAATCACTATAGTATACTAACATCATACACACAAGGACAAATACTGTAGTACAAAGTATAATGTGAAAACTCACATCGTAGTTTAAAAGATAACAACGCCGATCTAACTGAACTTACCTTGGGTTCCAGTCATGTGTGAATGTATAATGTCGATTTATAATGTTTAAAACCCGATTTTATATAGCCGTTTGAATTTATAATGTCGTCCGAATGTTAAAATTTTGTGCGAAATTTATAATAATAATAATAATAATAATAATTAAAAAAGAATTAAAAACAACAAAAAAAACAAAATAGGAAAAAAAAAAAAAAAAACAACAAAAGACAAAAAAATCAAATAAGGGGTGAAATTGGAAAATGAATGGGTACCTATAGAAAAACCCCTAAAATATAAGAATTAAAATGGGTTTATGGGTTTATAGATAACCGATCGGGACTGACTTGGGAGGATACATATCCAAATTAAACCGAATCGAGTTGACCCGATTCTCCAAATCGGACCTTTCACTGAACCTTCCCTGCTTCTCCTAATAAATACCCCACTCGGTTTCCCCCAAATTTGCTCGACCCCCACGCGTTTCTCTCTCCAAATCTCATCTTCCCATTTCAGATCTTCAAAGATTATCAAAACCCTAAAAAATTTCATTCTTATCTTCCTTTCCATTCTTCGGTCTCAATTGCTCCAACGCATTACCCCAAAACTCCCTTAAAGATGGCTATGGCTTATCTCGGATCAAAGAAAGCCAACGCCGCCGCACTAATGTCGTCGCCGTCCCTTTCACCCTACCAACGCATCTTAACCCAAGACGAACTCAAAAAAATCGCCGCCTACAAGGCCGTCGAGTTTGTCGAATCCGGCATGGTTCTTGGCCTCGGAACTGGCTCCACCGCCAAACACGCTATTGACCGTATCGGAGAGCTTCTCCAGCAAGGAAAACTAAGCAACATCGTCGGAATACCCACTTCGACGATGACTCATGAGCAGGCTTTGTCGCTGGGCATACCTCTGTCGGACCTTGACAACCACCCTGTTCTCGATTTGGCCATTGACGGAGCAGATGAGGTTGACCCAGATATGAATTTGGTCAAAGGCCGAGGCGGATCGTTGCTTCGTGAGAAAATGATCGAAGGTTGTTGCAAGAAATTCGTCGTGATTGTCGATGAATCCAAACTGGTGGACTATGTCGGAGGAAGTGGGTTAGCCATGCCGGTTGAAATCGTTCCTTTTTGCTGGAAATTCACAGCGCAGAAGCTTCAATCGTTGTTTGAAGAAGCCGGTTGTGTTGCAAAGCTTCGGACTTCGCCGGAAAATGGTAAGCCATTTGTGACTGATAATGGGAATTTCATTATCGATTTGTATTTCAAGAAAGACATTGGGGATTTGAAGGCTGCCGGCGATGCAATTTTAAGACTGGCCGGAGTGGTAGAACATGGAATGTTTCTTGACATGACAACTACTTTGATAGTCGCCGGAGAACTAGGAGTTACCGTGAGGCATAAATGTTAGTTTTATGGCAATGGCTACGGGAGATTTTGGTTTCTAGCTAACATTATTAGGAAATGAAATTAGGAATTATGTTTCTCCGATGAAATTTTATTCAATTTTTATGCGTTTATTTGACAAACTATTGAGGAGGATTTTGCGTCGAACTTGCTACAACCACAAGATATCCTTAACGTATCTTCAACAATCTTATCATTTTCATCGTATTTTACAAAAAGAATTTTTATAGAAAACTAATTATTCTGAAAAATGTGTAAATGTCATGTCGGTTAAATACCACGAATGTTGACTGATTGGATTGCTTATTTTATAATTAAAAGAGTTTAGGCAGTTAGGCTCATTGAAATTTTAACAATTTTTGGATTTACTAGTTTGGAAATATGGTCATCCGACCTTTTTTAGGGCATGCAAACATATCATGATGCTCTCTTTGGTGGCCTCCACCCAAAACCTATCTTCTAGACTACAAAATTGGCATCAATTTTAGGTTCAAAGATTGGTTCGTAACCTTGTAAAGTTTGGGTAAGGGAGATATGTTTTTATTGGGTCCGATTGGATTTGACTTAAGAGGTAGGATTTAGTCGGTCATATATTCAAACTATTTGATATCATACTTAGAAGCTTCTAACTTGTTATATAACTCTTATTATATCAAATTCAAGACAGTTAGCGCTAACTCAATCTGACATTGACTCGATTAGATTTGACCTAATCAATAATTATCAAACTATTTTTGTAACTCGATACCTCTCTACAAATTCATGTTTGCTTCCAAAGTCACTCATATATCATGGCAAACCTTTTTTTTAACAAAACCATGAATCCAAATATTAATCTCAATCTAACAAACATGATATCAATCTAACAAACATGATATCATAGTCGGTGTTTAGCACTTCAAGGGCTCGATGTATATAGTCAATCTCATTGAGCTTTCACTTAAGGGCAGTGTTGGAATTCTAGATCGACAAGGTCCTATCCTTTTTTATTATCTTTTAATTTTTTAATGTTTTAATTTTTTATCCTATTTTTTTATATATGTTGGAGTTCTCACCCTTTTTTCATAGAATCTCCTAGATAGCTAGTTTAGGATTCCACATTTCTTATTCAAATCTGAGATGACATAACCAACATATCTTTGAGGCTAACATGTATTGTCTAATACTTAAAGAGCTTTTTTGGGGTGTATTGGAGTCCCACGTCTTGGAAAAACATTAATGATTCAATTTTTTTTACTGAATCAAAGTTTTGATTCATTTTTTGGACAACTTTAGTAAATAATCGAAAAAATAATATAACGGTGAGTTTTTTTTTTCGATTTTTTTTTGCATATCATATTGATTTTGTATTATCTAAATATTCATTTTGTTGATTCACCAAAAACCATACAAATGATGCACTATTTTACCCTTCTTACAAAATATTTCCTTTTTACTGGAACTCTCTCTCTCTCTCTCTCTCTATCTATATATATATATATATATATATATATATATATATATATATATATATATATATATATATATATATATATATATATATATATTAGAGGCTCACTTTTAATTTCCGCACAACACCTTCAAAATTAACAGGACATCCCTGATAATGATCATGTCCACAACACAAATGCGGACACCACTTAGGGAGATTGAACCTAAGAAAACGAGAGTTAAAATTTCGAAAAAATAGTTCTTTAGTTGATAGTTTGTCTCACCACTCTTGCAATTGGTTTTTGTATAGAAATAGAAACATAAATGTTAGTAAGGATGCTTGGTTATTCAATCCATTATTATCGATTCCTTTGTAATGTTTTGATAGCTTTTTGCTAACTCTTTAATATATGAAATCGATGCGTTTCGTTGTGGAAAATTTTCTAGTTTTGTAGAAAAAATTTCAAAAGAAAATGAAAATTTTGAAAATTCGTTTGGTTTATTCAGTTTTCAAAAAAATTCTAAAAATATGAAAATTTTCTGTTTTTTAAATTGTATGTAAATTAGAAAAAAGAGATTTTTTTACAGTTTTCTAAATTTTTAAAATTGTAAATGAAAATTCCATAATGTTTTCTTAATTTTTCATTGAAAATTAAAGATGAAGACTTACTTTATTTTCTAAAAACATTTCTAGAAGACAAAATTGCACAAATGGTCCCTGTGGTATGTCGAAAATTACCACTTTGGTCTAAAAAAGTTTGGACTACCACCAGAGGTCCAAAGTTTTCATTTTGTTGCAAATTTGGTCCGTTTCATAATTGGAAGTATGTGAAATAACCTTTTTTTTCCCTTTCTATTTGGTTTCCCTTTTCTTTTTATTAATTTTGTATTTTTCTGATTAATAGTTAAACAAAAAAGAAAACAAGTATAACCCTACCCCAACCATACTCCCTCCCCCAACTCCCTTTCTCTCTACTGCCTGAAAAATATGAATGACACCCTCCTTTTTTCTGGCGTCGACTTCTCTCACACTCACACGACTCACCGAACTTCACCTTCCCTCCCTTGCAAACTGATGACTACAAATTCAACTGTACCAACAGCCAGACTTCATCTTCTCGAATCACCACCCTTCTCTCCCTCTCTCTCTCAAATCGCTGCCCTTTTCTCCACCATCCTCATCTTTCTGCTTATCCGACGAGCCTGTAGTGATTTGGGTTTTCAACAGATCATCTAGCATCGATACATATCTCATCTAGATTGGAGTTTTCGAAACCCTAGATGAGAACGAAGATGAACATTGATTTTTAACGCCACCACCGAGTTACAGCCCACCACCATAGAGGTTTTAGATCTGAACAACTCTAAAAACCCTAAATTATCATCTTCGTCGAGGTTTCAGTCAGGTGATATCTAGATTTGTTCATTCGCCACCATGCTGTTGCTAAGGTTTGTTGTGACGAAGTTTGAAAAAATCTAGGGGTGGCAACTATCGACCAAACTCGTAACCCGACACTGACCCAACCCGAAAATAGACGGGTTTAGGTTGAGATTTTTAACCCGCCAACCCGTTTATTTCATGGGTTGGGTTGGGTTACCTGTTTGGGTTCGCGGGTCAACCCGTCAACCCGTATATATATATATATATATATATATATATATATATATATATATATATATATATATCATTATTATATATGTAAAGCTTTTTTCTTAAAGAGGTTGCGTGCATTTCACGAACGTCTTTTTTTCTGGCGCGTGAAAAAGAGATTGGCTTCGTCCGTAAAGTTCAATCGCCTGTGATCCACTCGCATAGGATTGGAGAGTCATCAGCTCTAGATGCCCTCTCCAAACCTTGGAGACACCTTTTCTCCCACGTATTCATGACCACTTATAGGATTGAGCATGTCTCTCACCACCAAATTTCCCCAAGAAACCATTCGATATTAACGAAGAGGTTTCATTCTATCAATTTCATTTTATTTTTGGCCTTCTTTCTTCCCTGTTAATGCTTGTTGTGGATCAAAACGAATCAGGTATTCCCCCCCTCCACCGCTCCATGTTATATCCTCTAACCCTTTCTCTCTCAACCAATATTGGATATTCTATTTCTTTCTTCTACTATCTGGAAGTATCATAGCTACGATGGTTTGATGTAAAAGAACAATTGATTATGCAAACAGTTTATCTCTCATTCTCCTTATGAAATGTTGGTTGTTCACGTTATCTGTAATTTAGGATTTGTCATTGTGTCATTGCATCACATGACTCGTAGTGTATGTCTAATTTTCTCCTTTTTTCTTTTTTCATCTTTTGATTTTTTGCTTGATTTGCGCCTTTTGTTAATCATAAATTGGTTCAGAGGATCCTAATGGTACGTATATAAGGTTAGAGCATATCTCATTGTTTGTATGTTATAGTTATTTCAGAGTATATATATATATATATATATATATATATATATATATATATATATATATATATATATATATATATTTCATTATTAATGAAATATGATTTCCTTCCGTATTCGTAATATTTCGTATTATTCCTTCCGTATTCATATGTGGCTAGCCTGTGTTTGAGGCTCCCTAATTAGAAAAAACATATGTCTATCATTTTTAGATACTCACGAATCATTAACAAAAATAACGCATCCACTTTGTATGAATGTTTTTATCTTTCAATTTTATTTGGATGTTAATGATTTTATGAATTTATGTTAAAAACCTATTTTTCTATGTTAATTACTTTAATCACTTTATGACTTTATGTTGAAAAACTTCATTTGTAAAAATGTGTTGCTTATTTATTAAACGGGTTATATGGGTTGGGTTCGACCCACTAACTTGTGAACCCGCGAACCCATATACTTAAACGAGTTATATGGGTTAGGTTGGGTTCAGGTTTCCAACCCACCAACCTGTGACTCACCAACCCATATATTATATGGGTTGGGTTGAGTTTATATTTTCTAAACCGCCAACCCGAACCCAACCCGATTGTCAGGCCTAAAAAACCCCAACTTATTCTTTCAAGATCTGAAGACCGACGACTTTGTCGAAAGGTTTTAAACAACATTGAAGAGCTCAGAAAAAGGTGTTCGTTTTTTGGAGCTATCGATTTGTTCATTGTCAGAGCTCGGACTGCCTTTCTTTGTCTTTCCAAATCTGGAATCGAACTTTCCAAATAGATAGGAGGTTCTGGTTTCATTAGGGTTTGAACAATTTTCTATAAAAAGTTTTTATGCTTTTACAAATCGGTTTGTTCTTGTGGTTTACAAATGTAGTAATGTTTTGTTATTAAAAATCTAATTGTTGTTGTGGGTTTATAGATTTGGCTGTTCTTGAGTTTGAGTTTGCAGATCATAAAATTATAAACAGGTTGTTCTTGACTTTAAGTTTGATGATCAGAAAAAATGGAATGTTTTGTTCTTCAAATCTGGAAAAATTATATATGAATTCATCAAATGTTGGTGGTAGTTCTTGAGACCGGTGGCGGACGATGATGTTGGTGATATTCTGGCGATGGTGGTGGCTGACATGTGGTGGTGGTGGCGGATAATGGTGGCAG